CAAGGTCCATAACCTTCCGTTCCCTCCGAGCATTCGCGGCCAGCTCTTCCCGCATCTTTAAAGTCATAGCTATAGGATTGATAGCGAGATTGGGTTCATCCCCAGGAAGAGATCTAGGAGGAGCAACTGGTGACCTAAGAGCTTCCGGCACTAGGAATACCTCTTGGGCGACCCCATTCCCACCCACAGATAATGCCCTACCGTGTCTAACTTTTGATTCTATACTGGCTCTTCTCTCTATTGAGGAGCTGCCCCTTTGCGTCGGTGATGACAGCACAGAAGACGCTGATGATGTTGGTGTCTTGTTGGGGGATGGTATCGGGCCCGGAGAAAGAGAATAGGGGTTCGGAGACGGGGCCCTTGAGCTACCTTCCGATGTCGATGGATTCTTCCGCCTTGACTCCAGCACCTCTTCTGTTCCGTTTGCATAAATGAATTTGACATTCCTGGTATTGTTGCTGAGTGATGAAAGTTGTTGAGGGGAGGTTATGGGTGTCTGTGGGTTAGCAATAGGAGGGAGCGCGGGTAATCGCGGAGTAAGGTGTGTCTGTGGCGGGTTTGTAGCTTCCGAGGCATAAAAGAATTTCGAAGGCTGCGACTGTAATCGCGGCTGTGAAATATCGCCGGTTATGGTGGGGGTGATAACTGTCTGTAATGACTTTCGCGCGGTAGCTTTTGTGTCACTGGCATGAATAAATTTAGGTGAACTCGGTCGCTTGGAGACGTCAATAGTACGAGGTCGGGCTCGGAGAGATTGTGTTCCTGAATGTATTTCTGTGCGAGCATTCGAAACTGTGCTCGCGGAACTTGAAGGCCTTGTTGGGCCTACATAGGATGAGCGTCTTGAAGGGACGCCCGAAATTATTGATTCCGTCCCTAACACTGACCCCGCCTCTCGTTTCACAGTAGGTTTGGGGTGGCGAGGCACAGCAGGACTGCCCTGGGATAATGTCGTCTGCGATGCCTTATATCCCAAGCGAGATGGTGGTGCTGGGCTTGTACTGTTGTTAACATTACTTGACGGAGACTTACTCGTCGCTCTGTGCATCGTCAGGACAGGTCTTTTCGGAGGTTTGGTATTATTATTTTCCAGAATCTTTGTATTTTGTTGCGAGTCGAGAGGTACCAGGGGCATGCTGCTTGGTGGCAGTCTTGGTCTCCGGGTTTCTGTGCTTTGGTCTGTTCTCATGATTCTCATGACGGGAATACTTCATAACAGCTTCGGCAGTACGTATTCTTATATCTGTACAGTGTAGGAAATTGGGATGGAGAAATGTAGATGGTACTTCTTTCGTGCTCCATGCCCAATTGAAGGAGGCAAAGGTATCCGTATACCGTGTGGAGCTCAGCAAGCTTAAGCTGCAGGCGACCAACGGTAGGCTGACGGGACCAGTGTGGGGAGAGGCTTCGTCGAGGCTGGTACAGTAAGGAGATTGGGGTAGCTAAAGTAGTTAGCGATGCGTTGGAAGTAGCTGCACTGTGGCCCAGATGAGATCTGCGGTGCGTTGCTGGGTTCAATAATGGGCTGCTCCAGTGCGTTCTTGCTCGTGGGAGCGGCCCTGTAGAACATTCATATGTATCCGCTGAAGCCGGCTGTGATACTTGGTGGTTGATGGTAGAAGAGTATGACCACGTTCAAACTGCGAATAAGGCGGATCCTGTCCAGCGGGAAGGGGACACTCATTCTCAATCTCCGGCCTTTGCGGCGGTATGCGTAACCTTCATCCGAACCTACAGCTTGACCTCGCCATCAACTTAGTTACTCACTCTCGTGACATGATGCCAAGTTTTGTAGCACAGAGGTCATCTCTGGGTTGATCTTGAAACACCATATCTTACCTGCATCAAAGAGTAGCAAAGTGCCTAGGTACTCGGAAGGCATTTTCGATATTTTCACCTTAACCCTGAGGCTTCGGGGCCTTAATCATACATTCATTTAAAATGAAACGCTTTGTTGGAACATTTGGATGCCAAGGCATGGAGTGGAAGTGTAGCCAAGCCCGATCTTGCTTAGGTAATCGCACAAACTAAGATTTGACCGAAAATTTCTATTTCCCCCACCATATACATTTTCGCCGTGTTCCAAGCACCCCACTATCTCCAACATCAGAGATGGGTACCTACAAGAAAGAACGAGCCCGCAGAGAGCGGGGCAAGGCAGCTAGCGATGGCATGGCCAATGTCAGGGTCAAGGGAGAAAACTTCTACCGTGATGCGAAGAAGGTCAAGAAGTTGAACATCCTGAAGGAAGGAAAGGCCATCAGGAACAAGAATGGAGACATTGTAAGCTCTACAAATCAGACTTTTTTCTAACCTTCTACCGATTCTAATGGCAGGAAGTGATAGATCAAAGCCGCTAGTTTCCAATCAAGAGAAATCCCCAATGCCAGAATTGAACCTAACAGAAAATGGTTTGGTGAGTCCAGGTTACCCTGATGCACACTCCTGTCTTTCCCTGAAACTAACCATCGTATCAATCTAGGTAATACCAGAGTCATTGCTCAGGATGCCTTACAGAATTTTCGTGAAGCAATGGCAGCAAAGGCTTCCGATCCTTACCAGGTTCTTCTTAAAACTAACAAGTTACCAATGTCTCTTTTGAAAGAGCCAGTAGGACCTGGAGGTATCAAGCAGCATGCAGCCAAGATCCATGTCGAAGCTCAACCTTTCTCTCAGACCTTCGGCCCTAAGGCACAACGTAAGCGACCGAAGATCTCTGTTAGTGACATCACGGACCTTGTAGGTGAAAGCAAGAGGATGGAGCAAGAATACGAGGAGAATCTGGAAAAGATAAAACTTCTCAGTGGGAAGAGTGGCTACTTTGGTGACGAAGAGGTAAAAGAGGGCTGGATTCAAGAGGCTCGAGAACCGATTTTCACCAAGGGACAGAGTAAGCGTATTTGGAATGAGTTGTATAAGGTAAAGAGCGTTTATTTTTACTTCTGGACTAACAAAATCTAACAGATATCATTAGGTCATTGACTCTTCCGATGTCATATTACACGTCCTCGACGCTAGAGATCCACTTGGTACTCGTTGTCGATCGGTTGAGAAGTACATGAAAGAGGACGCTCCCCACAAACATCTTATTTTCGTACTCAACAAGTGCGATCTTGTCCCTACCAGTGTTGCTGTATGTAATACATTTTCTCTGCTCTTTTGCCTTTCGCCTTTCCCAAGTCCCATTGATTCCTGTCAGCTGTATATAACACATTTTCTCTGCTGTTTTGCCCCTTGATTTTCCCAAGTTCCATTGATTCCTGTCAGGGTAGCTGTGCGCATCTTTGGATGCATCAATCACGGATTGCCTGTTACAACAATGGGAGAATAAACCTTTCCCGCCCGAGTCTCCTCCATCGTTTTGATGGAGGGAGCTCAGCGGCTCCACTCCCGTTCTGGGAGAAGCCAATTATAGGGTCTGGTGTGTTTCGTTCAGAGTTGAGCCTGGATTTGCACTTTTCGAGGTGCATAATACATACTAGTGCTCTTAGTTATGATTCACACATGCGCTAACTTGCAATTGCTCAATTTTGGGCATTAATGATATTACAGGATATGCTAACATCAAATCAAATTGCAGGCTTCATGGGTTCGTCTATTGTCAAAGGAATACCCAACCCTGGCCTTTCACGCCCATATCACCAACTCTTTCGGCAAAGGTTCCTTAATTCAGCTGCTCCGACAATTCTCTGTCCTACATAAGGATCGAAAGCAGGTCTCTGTTGGACTCATTGGATACCCTAATACTGGAAAATCTTCTATAATCAACACCCTCCGCAAGAAGAAAGTTTGTAACGTTGCTCCTATTCCAGGAGAGACCAAAGTCTGGCAGTACATCACCCTTATGCGGCGAATCTTCCTCATTGACTGTCCTGGTATCGTCCCCCCAAACCAGAATGACACCGAAGAAGATATCCTTCTCAAGGGAGTCGTCCGGGTGGAGAACGTATCAAATCCAGAACAATATATCCCCGCGGTGCTTAATAAATGCAAGCGAAGTCATGTCGAGCGCACATATGAAGTCAAGGGATGGACTAACTCAATTGAGTTCCTGGAATTGTTGGCTAGGAAGGGAGGGAGGTTGCTGAAGGGGGGTGAACCAGATTTGGATGGTGTGGCAAAGATGGTGTTGAATGACTTTATGAGGGGCAAAATTCCATGGTTTACGCCATGTCCGAAGGCTGAGGGCGCAGCGGACGAGAAACTGGAGGGGAGGGAGGGGAAGTTAGGAGAGATGAGGACGAAGAAGAGGAAGGCAGAGGAGATGGAGGATGAGGGTATTGAGAAAGCCCAGGAAGAAGAGAGCGATGGGGATGACCAAGATTATGAGGAGTGGGGTGGGTTTGCAGACGCAAGCACCGTTGTGGACTCCGAGGGCGAGGCCGAGGAAGATGATGACGATGACCATGCCGGTGCTGATGCCGATGACGACATTGATGACATTGAGGTCGACGAAGGGGAGGTGAAACGGCTTATATTGGAAGCTAAAGAAGAGGCGAAGACTACGAAGGAGCAGAAAGTTCAGCCGATGCCTTGTTCCCCGGCTCCAAGCAGGGGTGCTGCGCGCCATTAGAGTCTACTGTCTTTCCAGCCTTGTTCCGTATGATCATATTTCACCATATTGCTTCATGGGTCTTCTTTCTCTGGGGATGGCGTTTATAGGTTCTTACTGTTGTTGTTGAGCAAGGAGTCATCAGACGAGCCTAGTTGCAGTGAAATAAGTCTGAGTGGAAGGGTAATTTGAGTTGAGGTCTTACATCAACATTATCTGATCTAATAATATAAGTGCGCCCATGTGAGATATATATGAGATGCGCAACTACAACTACATATTGAGACTAGGATCAAGAGGTTTTGGTACTGGACCAGGGCGTAATCTAACCATTTTGTAATACTGTAGGTAGCGATTAAAGAGCCCCGGCCCACCATTCGAATTTAAGAACCGGTTCCTAAATGAGAGTTACCGTGGTACCTATTACTCCCAAAAAAAAAAAAGATAATGAAAGGAGGGGGATTCGAACCCCCGCGGGTTGCCCCACGAGAAACCTGTTCTTAGAACAGAAGCATATTCTATATTCTGCTTGAGTCACGCGCCATAACCACTCGGCCATCCTTCCTGGATTTGATAGTTCTGCAAGGAAAACAATATATAATGATAAAATTTGCCGAGGTTACACCCATTAATACATGACACGACTACCCTACTTTAGTAACCCGCTGTCAGATATTCTTACGAATGGAGATGTTGGGCCGTTCCGGAACGGATATATGTGCACTCTAGGCAATTTTATGAAGGCAAATTGGTGAAAACCGAGTCTATTATTTTATACATAACAAAAGCTCAATGCTTGCTCAAGCCTCTACTTGTTCAATCAAACCTGATACTTCACTGCGAGAAATTCCAATGATACCCCTCATTAATAGTACTATGTATAGGTCTTGTTCTTTCCTGCATGCATTATAGTATCATGAACATGTGCATGCTCCAAAACCATCATTATTTTTGCCAGCAATAAAGTACAGTGCATCATCGTCTAGCTCATATTCATTTAATGCCTTCCATCGCAGCTTAATTGGTGGCAAATCAGAGATCTCAAGTTTGGGTCTCGCAGGTATGCTTTGATTTTGGGATACCTAGGTATGTAGTCCTTGTTTGTTACCATGTACCTTAAATCAACTGTATGCGTTGAAGAGTTTATTAAGAAAATTATTACAGACTACTTAAAAGTTTCAATTCCGCAACGGACCAGAACATAACTGCATTGCTCAAAGGTTTTTAAAATTCTGAAGAATCATTCTGGCAACAGACTGTTTACCAGTCCAATCTCAAGGCAATTCCTACCTTTTATAAGTATTTGTTTCGTTCGTACAGCCACCCCCCTGCCTATTATTGTTCATTTCCTGCGTAGGAGAAAGGGCTAATATTGTAGCGCAATGGCCTGGCAGCCCTCTCTACCGCTAGAAACTCCAGCTTCAAAATGGTTGGCATGTTGAATTGATGTCAGCGCTTGCCAACTACATCGAAAGGGCCGACGCATTCTATTTGAAAATTCAATTGTTTCACATGTGCCGAGAGGTTTCATACTTCCCGTGCAACAGCTATATTGAACAACACTTACAGAATCATCCGGCCATGCTGCGTTATTTATGGCCTTGCTCAAGTTGTATGAGGAATGCAACTGGATATAAGCAATTGATCCTGTTGGAAACACATTGGCACAACACACCCATCTTTATAGTCGGAAGATTTACCTGCGGTTCTGCTGCGAGATAGTGACTATACCTTGAAAACAAGCTCTTCGTGTGGTAGTCCAACTCTCAAGAGGTGACACCTCACATATATTTCTATTCATTATAGCTAATATATATGTAACTTAAAAAATAGAAAGTAATACCTTGAAAGGGAAGTGAAATAGCTTGAGTCATTTGACTCTTAGGGGCATATGCGCAATTATTATGGGCACCACTCATTATTAGATACTGGATCTTTAACCTCCTTTCGGCCTGTAGCAATCTATCTTGCAAAGTGGTAAACTCTACATCTCCCTGCACCACTTCTTCAAAGTGTTGATTGCGCACATTGGAGATATTTGGCTTCGGAGTTTCGAGGGGCTTGTGCCAACCAGACTACTTCGGAGGTGAAAAATCAATGGCTACCTAGATCTGAAAATACCATTTTCCACGGTAGTCATCATGTTCTCATACACGAGTATCTTTTAAAAAGTAGGAGTTTGTTTATTCATGTATCGAGTTATATAATAGTTGTGGTTAGGGCTACATTGTGATTAGCACGCGGGCTATCAAAATTCTAAAATTAACCATAAGGTGGAGAGGTTTTGATAAAAACTTCTAGGTATTCCAGCAAAGGGTGGTTTTTGACAATTATGTAGAGAGGGCCTCGAGTTTGGCTGGTAAAGGCAACCCCCTGTAGGAAGACTTATGGCACGGAATTGTACTGTACTTATCCCCAATTCCTAAGCATAACATTCAACTCTCCTTCCACGCCACAAATTCAAACATTACCTAGATAAACTAGTCTCCCGCATGGAGGACCGCCACTATAAGCGTTGCTGCTATATCTCCGTCATTTATTCAGCTAAGTACGAGAGTAAGGTGGTGTGAGCAAAAACGTTACGCTTAAGTAACCAGACTACACTACACATATAGTATCATATATAAATTCTAAACCACTGAACATTCCTGCTAATCGGCGAAAGGTAGGTTGATTACTTTAAGAACAGCACTACATACATTTCCTTTTCTTCCTGGACGATTTCCGAGGGGGATTTTTTTTCATTTGTTAGTTTTTTGATGGATGATTGCACTGACGCAGAAAACTATGAGTTGAGGGTAATCAATGATGGGAGTCAATGTTAAACTCAATGTTAAAGGTACGCTGACACCATGTGAGATGTCGTAGGTCGTGGGGCTGGCATCCAGTAGTTTGTTTGACGCCACTTTTCTGGAGCCGGGCGTCTGGAAGATGGAGGGGTTCAGGTAACTCTGTTCTAGGTACTAGAGTGTGGCGGTCATCTGTAAATCTCACGTCCTATACCTGGGTCAAGTTATTATATCCTTGCATAAAATGACGGACCTTTGTATTATCCATGCAGGTGAGAGAAACTCAATGCCTGGGGTATTAAAAGAGGCCCGATAATGCAATTTCAATGAAAGTTGGGTGTAAAGCAATACCCTGACTGAAGTACTCCGTAAGTACTCATGAACTAAAAGTACGAAATCTGTTGAGGGTAACCAGTCCTGCACCCAATCATGAAAACCAGTTCTTTTCTCCGCTCGCCAGAATATCTCAAACTTACATCCCGAACTGCTGTCCCACTTGTTTTTGGTCCAACTATACGTTATTATAATTATGTCCCCAATTCACACCCTCAATTCCACCTCAATTGCGGGTAGCGTTAACGTAACAATCAGAACAGAAAATATCATACACCCCCAAAATCTCTCAAATTAAGTATACAAACAAATAAAATAATGGTGATATAAGAACACTCCTTCACGCCTAAGCAAAAAAGACAAAAGCTACAAAACCAAGAGATGGAAATGACCGAAAACCAATTGGTACCCTGAGACGCGCAAAGAAAATGAAATGCCCTAAGAAGAAGAAAAAGAAAAAGAAAACAGCATACAGCAAGAAGCAAATAGCAAACTAAAAGGGTTCCAAGATGACTCCATCCATAACATATTATTAGTAAGGAAAATAGAAAACAATCCCCCAAGGGTCAAGAAATTACCAAACCAAGGAGAAGTTCATTCAACAGTCGATACGCAGGTCCTTTAGCAAGAGTTCGGAATTATTAAGTAATGATAATAGTCTAGTAACCACAGTTTTCCCTATCAAAGGTACTCAAGACGAGGAGGAAAAGAGAAATTTGCAAAAAAAAAACTGCACATTATATATAAGCTAAGGAGGCGGTGGAGGTTTCGCCCGCAGATTACGACATAAGAGTTGCCTGGTTGCTGCTACCATGGCTTGTACATGCTGTGGCAACAAGCCCTACGTTGTTGTGGCAGCATCTTCAAGCTTGGGTGGAGATGCATCTAGCGCCTCCTGCTTAGGTGTCTGGGGAGATGGTGAGATCGATGGCTGGGAAGATGGTGAGACCGGCGGCTCAGAAAGTGGTGAGATCGATGGTTGAGGTGGAGAAACCCCCGGAGGTACCGTGATAAATGGGCCAAGAGGCCTTGCTGACGAGGGCGGCGGTTGTGAGAGAGGATACGAAGTTTGGTGTGGTATGGGTGATACTGAAACTGGATATTGTTGACCATGTGATAAGATAGGTGGGAGGGTGTTCTCAGGGTAGGGATGAGGGATTGATGACGGCTGAGGATAACCTGCCCTTGCATAACTCCCCACATGCGGTGGCATGAACGTCCCGTACGTAGGCAAATGCCCCTCCACACTCCCACTTCCACTCCCAGGCCGCCCCGTAGCACTCCCCGCGATACTCACCTGCCTCTCCTTCTTCCTCACCACCCCCTTGCCATCCTCTCCAAACCTTGGCTCCTCCCCATTCGCAACCGCAGCAGCATTCGCAGCCTGCCTGGACGTCTGTGTCTTCCATTTGATCCCGCAAGCATTACACACCGTAACGGCCTCTCCATCTAGCTCCGCCTTTCTCCACAAACTCGTCTTACTCGTTTTACATAAATGGCAACTTTTTGTTGGATCTGCGATTCTCCCTTTCCTAGATCTGGGCAATTTCGGCTTAGGCGGTTGAGATGGCTTTGGGGGTGCATCGGGGGGCATAGAAGAAGCGGTGGGCGTGGTAGTAGATGATTGCGATTGGGTAGCAGAAGTGGACGAAGTAGCAGTAGGACGATGAAGGGCTGAAGACGAAGACGATGAGGGCTGTACATGTTTCTCACAGAATCAGTCAATCAGGTTCAAGCACCAAAAATTCTACACAACGATTTATGTATAGATGAAAAAAAACGGGCGGACGCATAGTGTATGTATAAAATGTATAACCAAATTGCTTTTGTATATATCGCGTAAATAAGCAGAGCGGGGATGCTTTTTGGTAACGCCCATGATCACCTAACCCTCAACACGAGTCATGGCTGTAAACATAAAAGAAGTTTTGGCCCGTACCTTCTTGATGACCTTTACCCTTGGGCCTATCCTCATCAGCACATTATTAGCCTTGGGCTCAGCCATACCTGGCGTGCTGCTCTTTCTTCGGCAAGTGCTATCCTTCATACCTCTCACCGGGGCTGGAGTATGACTCCCCGGTCGAGATTCTTCGTCACTCTCAACCTCGCTATCACTACCATGCCCACTCTTCACTACCCGTCTCAACTTGTAGACAGGCCAGGATTTGGGGGCCCGCTGCCGCTTCGTCATGACATCTGTCATGTAGGTTCTCACCACTTCGGAATGGGGGACCATTCTTTGAAGGTGTTCCAACGTCTTGGCGTTTTGGCTCCTAAGATAGACTGTCACTGGCTCGTAGTACTCAACATCCTCCCCACTAGAATTCTGGGCTGTTTTGAGGATTAAAAAAGATGCAAGCACCTCGCAGCCGTGGTCTCGGTATTCAAGGATGCTGTTTTTTGGGAATGCGAAACGGTCACCATGATCTGATTGGACGAATTC